GAGGGGCAACAATCTGCAGCTTCTGGAGGTGACTTCTGTCAAGCGTGAAGGCAAGGTATCACCTCAGGGAAGATCTTGTAAACTACTGAGGCAAGTGGATGACCATTGAGGGAGATATCTAGCATTAGGGAATTGGTGGTGGAGGTGATCTACAGCAACCTGGGCAATAACCAGGGTTCCATAGATCTGGGTGAAGTCCAGTGCACCTAGTCAAAAGTTTGTACAGAGCACACCAACACTGTGTGTCAGCACCCTGACAATAATTGTACAGACATTGAGGCACCAACTGTGGACAGACTGGCTGGCCAGCTCTAGCAATACAAAGAGAATCTCTCTACCTCCCCAACCCTATGGTCCTGTGTCTCAGCTGTAGAAAAACTGTCACAAAAGTTCCAGCAAATTCAAAGAGAGTATGTTTTCCTCCTCACCCATACAGGTTGGCATCTTACCTATCAAGAGTGTCTCAGGGAGTCAGCTTTTCTCTTCTCAGAGGAAAGGGAACCATGCATGCCACCCTGTGGTTCTATCTGCATGACCATGGGGAGGACATGAGGAAGTGGGACAGTCATCTGTCTCAAGCCTAGAAACTTGTGTATGTGAATTGCAAGGAAAAACAGCAGCCAAAAAGGGTCCGTTCAGGAAGATGACTGCTCCAGTTGCTGTTGAGCAATTGCCCAGACAGAGTGGAAGGACTGATCCTATGATCCTAGTCTGCAATTACAGGAGTCAGGTAATGAATGCTCTGACCAGGAATAGAGGGGCCATGCCTCCAGCCAGACAGAGGGAAGGCATTACCGGGTTTATTGGACTGTATGGATTCAATAGTCTGGCACATTGGACCCACAGGAGTATAAAGCTCTGCTGGACACCAGTACACAGTGACCTTAATGCTGTAAGGATACAAGGAGATGGAACCCACCTGGATTTCTGAAGCGAAAGGATAATCCCAACAGTTATCTGTGTTGGAGGCTGAAGTGACTCTAACAAGCAGCAAGTGGCAAAAGCATCCTATTGTGACTGACTTGGAGGCTCTGTGCATCCTTGGCGTGGACTACCTCAGGAGAGGCTACTTCAGGGACCCAAAAGGGTACCAGTGGGCTTTTGGTGTAGCTGCCGTGGATACAGAGAGTATTAAACAGCTGTCTAGCTTGCCTAGCCTTTTAGTGAATTCTTCTGTTGTAGGGTTGCTGCATGTGAAAGAGCAGCAGCGGGGGCAGGGTGGGGTGGGGTGGGGGGATGGAGTGAGCAAGCGAGTGGGTGGGGGCTTAGCTGCCAGCTGGGGTCAACCCACCACAGCACCTCTGAGAAGAGTTCTCTCACTTCTATAACCCTTCTCTGAGTAGTGAAAGACAGCAAGTGGAACTCTCCATTCATTCCTGGCTGAAATGCACTTTTATTTGACAGCCCTAGTCTTTGGATGTTACCTTCTTTTTTTTTTCCCTCCCAAAAAATGTGAAAGTTGAGTGGCTAAGTTCTGCTAGATAGCTCCAGCTAGGTAAAAGAGCAAGTGAAATCTTAGTCTTCAAAACTGAAAAGATTTTTTCTGAGCCACTCAGTCCAAATGCTATGTTCAGTGATGGATCATTTTTCTAAACTAAAAGAATGTTGTCATGGAGTAACAAAATTATTTAAAATATAAGTAAGAATCGTGTTTTAAAACTGATTTTTCAGGTGTATTAGATACTCTCATGTTCATTATGTTAATAATTATCTTTAGGATTTCAAAATGCAAAACCAGATTTTTAAACTTCATCTTCTCATTGCAAATTGTACAGAAATATATTTCTGTGATCTAAGGGCTGGATTCATGGGATCTTAAGAGTTCAACTGAAACATCTAAGTTAGGAGTTTGGGCTTCCTGCATTGTCAAAAGAACAAAAGAAGGACTCCAGAGGACTCATTATTCCCCTGTGTCTGATACTG